TAGATGGAATTTCTCAAACAGCTTCGAAACAAATGGAGATACGGTATGGGACGAAATTTTGAGCAGTTTTTCTTTCTGTTTTGTGTTGGTTAACGCTACGCTCAACTATTTGAGAATGTTTACATTTAACTCACAGTTACTTGTGATTAGTGATGTGGGATAATTGATATTGATTGATTTGAACTGACTAGCACTCAAGATGACACCTGAACGAATATGAGTTGACAATTCGGATCAGTCATGGTATGTGCTGGTTGGCACAGTGGTAACGCATACACCTTCTATGCGATGGGTCGGGAGTTCCAAGCCCGGACGGGACGGTGGATATGCACTACTGATGAACTCCAATGAGAGAGAAAATCGAGTCTGTTGTGATTCCCAGTTTACGGTTGCATCGATGAACTGAGGATTGTGCGTGAAGGGGAATTCTGAAGGATAGTTAGTTCAAATCAATAAATATCAATTATCCCACACCCCTACTCACGAGTAACTGTGAATTAAATGCAAAAATAAACTTTGCTCACATCGCAATGAATCCAGTCTGAAGGTGTGCACAACCGATTAACAGATTGATTGGAATGCCCGAGTTCAGTTTTTCACTACGTTCAAACTCTTCCATTGGTCAAACCATTGGTGGACTCTATCGTCATTTCTTTCCTGTTTGGTTCCCTTTCCGAATTTCAGACGAAAAATCACGTTGATAGCGAGTATATTGGTTTATTAGGTATAGTTTTAAGTAAAATAAATCATAATTAAATGAGCTTGACATGCAAGTGCTGTTTTGTTTTCACAATTGCGATTCTCGTGTTAGTTGAATTATAACGTGTGACAAAGTGCAATGATCTGTAGGGATCAAAACGCCACAATTGAAATCAGACTAAATCTGTGTGAAACAACTGTCGGATCCATGGAAGACTTATTGCCTTGTCCTAAAAATGTCGACCGTTTTCGAATTCCTCCCGCGGTTGCGCAGTCTGAGATGTGATTTGGCTGCTCATTATGCAACGACAACTTTGGAAATACCACATCCCACCGTTTTTGGGTAAAATCTTCAATTTGAATTTCTTTGCTTGTACAGAGTGATCAGTTGAGAGAATTAAGAATTGAGATTTGCAAAATTTGCTCAGGAGAAGCAAGCGATTTACGAGGAACACGTTTTGTTAGAATAAACAATTCAGTGTGCTGAACAGTAAACGGGTTTGACTCCATGATTACAAAGACCTGCTGTCCCGCAACGGAAACCGGTAACCCACGCCCAGGGACTTGAAGTGGCGAATCACATACGGGCCCCGTGAGGTCAGAAGTGGCATCGAATCGGGTGACAGCAAATTTGCCTATCAACACTATGAAAAGTTGCGTAACTCTATCATCAGGTGACTTCAATGTGATATTTTTTTATCAAAACATGGGTCAAAATCATGAGCTAGTATTTGCGCTGTATTTGCCCATTCATTCCCAAAATAAATCTTTTCGTTTTAAATATCGTACGCAGACTTTTTCGAGACAACCGAACAAATGGATTTGTCGAATCAGTTTCACATCACTGCATTTAGATCGCGCTGTTGTACAACCAGCTGTCAATGAAAATGTTACAGTGAGAATATCGGACGGCATCTGGGATAGAGGGGGTGCGTGGAAGGTCCACATTTGGGCAGATAGATCAGGAACAAACGGGTTCTGGCCCCGAATGTCACGTTCTTGTCATTCCAGAATAAATAATGCAGTTAAATTTTAACTTAGATTTCCGTACTACTCGGATAATCTGAGAACGGATAGCTGGGAACTTGAAAAAGAGTACACATTGACCGCTGCAGCAGGCAACTGCACAAATCACTAAGTTGACACGCATTGATCAAATGTCAAACCTCTGGCAGTATTTATGTATTCAGAACGAAAGCGTCAGTTTCCCGGTCAAAAACCATAAAATCGAACAACTGGGGACCAAGGGAAATGTGTAATTTCAAAGTTTGTTTATTGTTAGCAAGAGAATAGACCAAAGAAATGAATGTGTAAAACAGTACCGGGCATTTGTGTGGTCATCTATATGCTGACTAAATTATTCCACGGGGGGTGGGAGATGAATGACGACGACGATGATTGTGACCATGATGATGATCGGGTAAACATGTTTTGTCGAATAGAACAATTAATAAAAGATCGTTTCTGCGGAAAAGGGTTTCGGTGATTCGAACACCGATATTCACGAGGCAGCAGAGCCTGATTTTGAGTAATAAAATGTAGATGGGTAGAAATCCCGGGGAAATAATCTTCCCCCAAATAGGCCTCAATATTAGGGGAGGGGGGGAATGAGAATTGGAAGATCATAGTCACGTGATTAATTTGTTTTGTCACAGTATTCTACTCGATGTGTTCCGCGACATTTGAATATCCGCGTAACCCCGTACAAGCGGATAAACTTTTGGATAACCGAAAATTGGCTATTCGCACGCGTACAAAACACCCAGTTTGTCCTATTTCCACCCAGCCCATTTATCACGCATGAACATAGTCTTCCTTTCTTGACGCACCTTTGATAATTAGATTCAAATCACTCTTCCTGGTATTACGACTTACATTTTCACACGAACCTCCGTTGATACTACTATCATAGTGGCTACTGTTTTATATACTACCATTTAGATTACCACACACACACACACACACACACACACATGTACTCTCTGTTTGTCTTTTGAAATCCAGTGTACTTGTGCTCACTGAGTCCGAGAGACGCGTGTGGGCATAATCTCTAAATAATTGCATCACTATAGTTTCCATGGCGTTCTATCGGATTACTCTGTCCGACCAAAGACATCGCCAGTATGCTGGCTAATTCATTCACATTCTGCCACCCGGTTGTCGCGTTTCGTTCATTCCTCAATTGATTCGAAATTGGTTTGACCTGGCACACACATTCCCAAAACCACAAATTTGTTGCTCGTTGGAACATGTCTTGCCTCCGGATAAACCCATAATGCGGGTACGGAACTTTTGGATACCGTCTGATTGTCACACGAAAATCTGTCCGCTGTTTTCCAGCTCGACTGCACTGTTCCACTTGACGCATTGCAAAATCGACTACTACTACAAACACCACTACGGGGTATTGTGCCAGGTGGATAGAAAAATATACTATTAAGAAATATACTATAGGGCTTTTCTGAACGCGCGCGCGCGCGCACGCGCGCGCACACACACACACGAGCGTGCGTGCGTGCATACGTGCGAATAAGTGCACTCAGTGGCCACTTGCTTGCTTTCTCTCGCAGTCAGAATAAGGAGCGAAAGATTTTCCTCTTTCACGAATAACCTCGGGATCTTCTTTGTACAGAATTTTTCAATCCGTGGTTCACAGGTTATGTAAACAGAGATTGGAACGGATTGTGTGGTTTTGTCCAGTGACGAAGGTCCATGACAGGTTCGATGTTTTTCTAAAGTGAATGTGGATTGCACGTGTGTGTACGTGTGTGCATGTGTCTACAACTATCTTTGTGCAATCCTACTGGGTTTGCACTCGTGGCAACTGACCAAGCCGTTTTACAGTCAGTGTGTGTGTGTTTGTGTGTGTGTGTGTGTGTGTGTGTGTGTGTGTGTGTGTGTGTGTGTGT